GGGACTATAGGTGTGTGCCACCACTCTTGGCTAATTTTTTGTATTTTTTTGGTAGAGATGGGGTCTCCCTATGTTGCCCAGGCTGATCTCAAACTCCTGGGCTCAAGTGATCCATCTGCCTCAGCCTCCCAGAGTGCTGGGATTTTGCAGGCAGGAGCCACCATGCCTGGCCATCAGGTGCTATTTTTGCCTCCATATGAGAAAATGGAGGCTGAGAGGAGTGAACTCATTTCTGCAAACTTGCACAGTCAGGAATCCATGCAGCTGGGACTGGGACCCAGGAAGTCTGACTCCAGGGCAGAGTACCCTAGGCGGCTGTGCTGTGTGCACTGCCCCCCTCAGATGCTGCGCTAAGAAAATGGGCTTTGCTCATGACATTTTGGCAGGGAAATAATGCAAAAGATACAGATTAGAAGGAAATGGGGGGGACCGCGCGTACAGTGGCTGCACCACTCGTCTACTAAAAATACAAAAAGTAGGGCAGTGGGCTCACTCCTGTAACTCCCAGCTACACAGGAGACCTGCAGCCGCAGGGAGAATCCCCTTGAAGCGCCGGGAGGCACAGAGTTGCAGTGATTCTCAGGTTGTGGCCACCTGCACTCCAGCGTGGCGACAGAGTGAGAGCTCTGGCCTTAAAAAAAAGAAAAGAAGGGGCCAGGTAACAGTGGCTCCACACCTGAATCCCAAGGCACTTTGGGAGGCTCAGGTGGGTGGATCAGGCAAGTGCAAAAGATCGAGATCAGGCCTGGCCAACCAATCGGTGAAACCCGCATCCTCATAGCTAAAAAGATACAAAACTTAGGCTGGGTGCTAGGATGCTGGTGGACCATGTACCTGTAAGAACCGAGCTACTCAGGAGGCTGAGGCAGGAGATTTGCTTGAACCCGGGGGCGGAGGTTGCAGGGAGCCAGATCACGGCCAGCTGTACTCCAGCCTCGAGTGGACAGAGCCGAGAGCTCTTTCTCAAAAAAAAAAAAGCGAAGCTGGGCGGGCGCATGGCTCAGCACCTGTAGCTCCACAGCACTTCTGGCGGCTGGAGGTGGGTGGATCACCTGAGGCCGGGAGTTCGAGCATCAGCCTGACCAACCATGGCGCCGAAAGCCCCGTCTCTACCTTAAAAATAGAAAAAAAATAGCCGGGCGTCGCGGTGGCGCCCATGCCTATGAATGCCCGCTACTAAGCGGAACGGCTCAGCGCGCCAGGAGACATTGTTTGAACTTGGGAGGCCAGAGGTTGGCGTGAGCGCGAGCTCGTGCCATTGTCACTCCCAGCCTGGCCCACAAGAGTACAACCTCCGTCTCACCAAAAAAAAAAAATTTTTTAAAAAGAAGTTACACAGTGGCTATACCTGTATACCAGCACTTGGGAGGCTAGAGGGGCAGATCACGCTGAGGTCAGGAGTCTGCGATCAGCCTGGACGAACATGGTGAAACCCCGTCTCTGCTAGAAGTACAAACAAAATTAGCCAGGCCGACCGGCCGCCGCGCGGTGCCCTCACAGCCTGTCAATGCCGCCAGGCACTATCTGGGAGGGCGAGAACGGGCGGCATCACGAGGATCCAGGAGATGAGACGCATCCCTCGACTACCACCGGTGAAACGCGCGCACTCCCTTCTACAAAAATACAAAAAAAAAAAACTAGCGCGGGCCTGTGGTGGCCGGGCGCCTGTAGAATCCCAGGCAGGCCGCTTTTAGCTTCGGCGGGGAAGACAAAAGGGGCTTTTGATGCGGAGAATGGGCGTACCAACCCGGAGGGCGGAGGCTTGCAGTGAAGCTGAGATCGCGGCCACTGCACCCAGGCTGAACGGCAGAGCGAGACTGCCGCGTCTCAAAAGAAAAAAACAAAAAAAAAAAAAAATTAGCCAGGGACGTGGTGGTGCGGTGCCTCGTAAGTACCCAGCCTACTCCAGGGTGGGCTGAGGAGGAGGAATGGGGCTTGAACCCATGGAGGCAGCAGGTTTGCAGTGAGCTAAGATTGGCAGCCCACTGGCATTCGCCCGCCTGAGCAGCCACCAAATGAGACTCTATTTCAAAACAAAAAAGAGAAGAGATACCAGTGGTGAGACTAACTTGTCCGCAGGTCACTCAATGGAGAGAGGCGCGAGTGTCCCACTCAGTGTCAGGGCCTAGGCCTGAGCCCACAGCCTTACACACCTGACCAGCCCCCTATTAGCTGGCCTCGCCAAATAGTGTTGTTGATTGCCATAGCATTTGACCTTGCGATTTCCACCATATCAATCTGGAATTTCAGCTTTTCTATAAAGAATCAGACCGCTGGCGCAAAGGCTAGGCGCCTCTGTTCTCCACAAGGCAGTAGCTGTTGCGTGTCTCTTTCTCTGTTTACCACTTGGCCCTCCTGTCGAATGTTGGACATTCTGACGCGGCAGGCTGGTGAGAAGGTCAGGAGGGGCCAGAGAGAACGAGGCAGCAAAGGCCCAGGTACATCCACGCCGCGGTCGGCCACTACACCTCGGTGTGTGCCAAGGCACGGATGACGGTGGAGAGGAGCCGACCATCCCTCGTCCTGTGGCCACATACTGGGGCGGTCCGAGGCCGCCGTAGGCCTCCACAACGGCTTGAGAAGGCATTGGGCTGGCGCAGGCAGTCACACAGGGAGCCCCAGCGGAGGTGGCAGCAGTCACCCGTCGTCACTGGCCACGGGAGCGCTTGTTTCCTCAAGGGCGCTGAGGCCCATGGTCACCAGAGCCTTGGAACAAGCCAGTGGCGGAGGTTGAGGGGCGCAAGGTTAGTGAGCCTGCTGGCACATACAGGTTTCTGAGCCCCAATCTCTTGTTAAGCGCCGTAGGGCGCACTAGAAAATTTACTCTCTGAGCCTTAGTTTGCATGATCTGTAAAATGGGGGCCTGCCTGTGGGGCCAGTAAAGCGATTTAAGGAGCGAATGCTATGTAACTCAGGCAGCAAGGGCTTGGTGTGACAGCAGAGCCTTGGTTTGTGCTTATTTCTCGGCACGTCCTAAGAAAGGCTACGGTGGCTTCCCCTGGCCAGATCGCCGGTGCTGGTGGCCTCCCTATCCGCTGCAGCTTTGGGAGGGCTGAGGAGGGGGATCACAAGGTCAAGAGATCGAGACCATCCATGGCCAACATGGTGAGCGCCGTGCCTCTGCTAACAATACAAAAAAAAA